AGGTAGAGATCAGGAGGATCCCAGTATAAAGCCAGCCCCCAGCAAAATGAAACCCATCACAAAAAGGAGGTGGTGGAGTGACTCAAGTGGTAAGAGCACCTGCCTAGCAAACGTGAGGCCCTAAATTCAAACTCCAGGTACAATGGTACATATCCATAATCCCAGCTACTTGGGAAGCAGAGATTAGGAGGATCATGGTTCCAGGCTACCTCAGGCAAAAAGTTAGCAAGACCCCCATCTCAACCAACAAGTCAGGCATGGTGGCCGCATGTCTGACATCCCTGCTACTCAGCAGGCACAGGTAGGAGAATCTCTGAGGCTGGCCCCAGAGGGAAAAAGTACTAGACCCTATATAAAAAAATAACTAAAGCAAAAAGGGGTTAGGGTCATGTTCAAGTGGTAGAGAGCCTGCCTAATGAGCATAGCCCTGAGTTCAAACTCCAGAACTGCAAAAAAAAAAAAAAGGAAAGAGACTAAAAGCAGAAAATACATGTATCCTTACTCTATATATTATATATATGTATATTTATTCATGTTATCTGGATCACAATAGAAAATGTACCTCTCATTGATGGCACAGACTAACAAAATGTTGCAAAAGACTTCCTTTGAGATTTCTTAACTGCCCCATTGAGGTATGTGCAATTTAGCAGAGAAAACAATTACGGCTACTTCCTTAACTTCATCTATGTCCCACCCTGGCCACTGCCTCCACCCATGATCCCAACCTAACAGCCTCCTTTCTGTTCCTCTTTCCTCCTCAGACTATGTGCTGTTCTCTCAGCCTAGAACATTCTCTTCACACTTCCCAAAAGCTCTCTACACAGCTGCTCCTTCTCATCCATCAGGTCTCACTTGGGCATTGTCTCCACTGCAGATACTTTCCTGATCCCCCAGCTTGTGCAGCCCCTTGCCTGCTCACAATCACAAAGACACTTGCTTGCTTGTTGGCTGCCTGCCTTCTCTCCAGACCTCCAAAGATAGTGCTAACACCTGTTGTACTCACCTCTACATATACCCAGCATCCACTAGAGCAGCTGGCACAGAGTAGGCACTTCACAATTGTTAAGTGAACAAGGAAATGTCCACTGAGACACGGTTCAAGTGGTACAGCACCTGCCTAGCAAGGTTGAGGCCATGAGCTCAAACCCCAGTACTGCCAAAAATATAAAATATAAAATATTTATATTTTAAATATTTTAGTAATAAAAAATGTCCCAAGTCTTGTTAGCTAATGGAAAAGGCAGGATCTGAACCCAGGTCTGTCTTGTCTGAAGTTTGCTCTTTACTGTTGCACTACACTAAAATAAATATTGGGACAGAACACAGGCGTATCAAGCTCTCAAAGCCCGCACTCTCTCCACTATGTCAGCATGGTGGGGGGCCATGAGGGGCTCATAGGAGCAGCCTCTCGTGGTCAGCCAAGAATCCAAAAGGGATAAATGAATGAGGAGACTGCAAACTCTTCAGACTTGGAGAGGAAATTTGCCAGTGACTGGAGAAATACCAGAAGAAATCAGCTGAGCACAGCATTTGTGCTGAGTTTAGGAGAGAGGCCAGCTCAGAAATAAGGGGTAGGGGGTTCACCCATACAAGTAATATTCTGGGAAGGAGGACTAGGGAAGCATCCAGAGACAGCAGACAAAGTCAAAGAAGCAATTGACCGTGCATGGGACACAGAGGGGCTGAAGTCCCAGGAACTGCACTTTAAGATGCCCCGGGTGGGCAACATTGAGTTGTGACTCAAACTGAAGATATCAGGCTCCAGAATGCTCTGCCTAGGACCTGGCTAGAAAGCCAGAGGAGAGAGCCACAGGAATACTTTGGAAACACTGCCACCTAGTGGCCATGGAATGCAGGAAAAAGAATGCAGATCAGTTTCTATCAGTCACTTACAGAGCAGCTAAAATGGGTCTGGCTGCTGGGGCTTGGAAATGGCCTTAACATGGCTCCAACCTTCAAGGACCTCTGATACCCTACATCAAATTCTTTTTTTTTAAAGTCATAACAATATGCTTATGTTTAATATAGTACTTCTCAACATGGCAAACCCTCCTCTTTTTATCTCTTATCTTTTCACAGTAACTTGTGTTCCTCCTGCCAGCACCCCAAACATACATGAAGGCAGGGGATGGCATCTTACTCATCTTTGAAACTATGGTACCCAGGGACCATACATACTCATCTTTGAAGCTATGGTAACATAGGGACCACACACCCCAGAATAATAATAGCAGCTACTATTTAATGGGTTCCAAATGCTTCTGAATACATTACCATTGGATTTGTGCATTTCACCTGTGAGACCTCCAAATGGAAATGTCATGGAGGCATTTACTTCAATTTATAAGCTGGGAGTTTTGGCAAGGCCAAGGATGGAGAACTAAAGCCAGCATCACCAGCACACAGAGAGAGGGATCTTTTTGCTGGGGTTTGAACTCACTCTTGCTAGGCAGGTGCTCTACAACTTCAGCCACATCCTAGCCCTTTTTGGCCATAGTTATTTTTCAGAAAGGGTCTTGCTTTTTTGCTGGGGACCAATTTCAACCCATAATCCTCTCAATCTCTGCCTTCTGAGTAACTAGGGTTATAGGTAGGAGCCACAATTCCTGGCCCTCCAAGTTTAATGTGCCTGTGACTCACTAAGGAATTTTCATAAAATGCAGACTGGTTTTGTAGTCTGACGTAGGGCCTGGAATTGTTTCTAACAAGCTCCTGGGTAGTGCCCACACTACTGGTCCACAGACCACATTTTGAGTGGCAAAAATCTGGAACAGGGGCCGTAAAACTATATAGTCACAGCTAACCCATGGCCTGTGTGTGTAAAACTAGCAAGCCAGGTGTGATATTTTCATTTTTAGAGGGGCAGAGGGAGAAGTCTGAGGATACTTGGGCCTCACAAAGTCTAGAATATTTACTTTGGTCCTTTACTAAAAGTTTGTCAATCCTGATTGTGAAAGTCTGGGAGCGTTGGAGGGGATTAGAGGTATGGCTCAAGCGGTACAGCCTCTGCCTAGTAAGCACAAAGCCCTGAGCTCAAACCCCAGTACCAACACAAAAAAAAAAAAAAAAAAAGAAAAAAAGTCACAGGGTATATAGCTAAACAAGGGAGAGACAGGTTCCCAGCCCTGGAGGCAACTGCTGTGACTTCCAAATTCCCAGTCCTAGTTGTGTAGGCATACCAAGCATGCATGTGTGCTAAGAAGGCAGGAAAAGAAGAGCTCCCACATGAGACTCTCAGGTGGATGGGGGTGGTTCCAAAGAAAAGGTTATGGAGACATGTGAAGCTGAGTGAGGAAGACAACCTTGGCAAGCCAATGACAACTGCCTCTTTCAGTGCTCATCTTGGAACAAAAAGCTAGAAACAGAAATAAAGGCAGTCACCATTACCACTTTTGTGCAGTGCCACAGAAGGACTGCAAAAATCAAATAAAAAGGAAACACCTGTAATCCTAGCTATTCAGGAGGCAAAGATCAGGAGGATCACAAATTCAAAGCCAGTCCAAGTAAACAGTTTCGCAAGACCCTATCTAGAAAAACCCTTCACAAAAATAAGGCTGGTGAAGTGGCTCAAGGTGAAGGCCCTGAGTTCAAACCCCAATACCACAAAAAAAAAAAAAAAGGAAACCTGTGGATTCCATAGGGTTGATCTGAGCAGCAGAACCTTCTGAACTTTGGCTGAGAGTGGGGAAGGTGAGGGAAAGGGTATGGCAGCAAAACAATGGCCCCAGAACCTGTAGTTTAGGGCCACTCTAAGCTGCATTTAGTGCCTTCTGTCACGCTTCTGCCATCCCTTGTGAAAGGACACATTTACTCAAATGTCGATGCCTGAGAAAGTAAACATAGCTGTCCACTTTCATCATCTTGAACCAATCAATCTGGTTCTCTTGCAGTGAAGACCAGGCTGCTGTTTTCTGTTCTGAAAGGTTTGCTTGTCTCACATCAAGTGTTCACATATTTTCAAAAGACAATAGCACCTTTTCATGGAAGTGTGGAAATGACTATCAAAAAGACTATGGGGCAGGGTTACCTGGAAAGCCTAAACTGCTCTTAAATGTTGGAGAGCAAATAAGCACACAGAAGGATGTAACAAAAACCACCATGTGCTCTTCAACACCAGGATTTCCTGGTTAGGAACCATTAAGGTCAACCAATCTCCTTTATGTTTCTAGCAAAACTCAGTGCATACCATATCTGACTTTGGGCACAGTATATTCTTCTTCTTAATAAATTAAAAAATGCTTGCAATCAAAAAACCAAATCTCTGCCTATTACCCACAGGCTTCTGCCCTTCTCCAGCTTATCCTGCTGGACTATACTTTTTCTCTCTCCCATCAAAAAATGAGTTCCTTCAGAGAAGTGACTACCTTTGCAGCCCCCAGTATACTACCTGGCCCATGGTGTTAGAGTGTGATAAGCTACTGAGAGACTTATTTTCCTGCCACCTACTGACTGTGAGCTTTTGGATAAGTTATTTAGCCTTTCAAAACCTCAGTTTCAGCACCTGGGAAATCCCCTTAATAGGACTGTTTTGAGAATTAAATATGTTAATTCATGCAGAATATTTGGCATGTTGGTTAACACAACGGTAAAGGTTTAATAAGTAATTATCATTCAATTATGATCATTAAAGAAAAGATGAATCGATTATTCTATCCAGTGAATCACATTTTCTCCCCAAAACATACTACACCAAAAAAGGATCTCTAAAGCTGAGCACTATTGATAGTTGTTTGTTTGTGGGGCCTGTACTGGGCATAGGGGAATGTTTCATGGCATCCCTGTCATTTACCCACAGATGCCAGAAGCATACACACACCCAGTTCTGACAACAAAACCGAATTCAGAGATTGGAGGAAAAATCCCTACGGACCTACCTCATTGAGAACTATTATACTAGAACATGCGAATTAGGTACAGAGAGTCTGTTCACCACAGCCCCTAGTTTCCCGCTATCTCATTCTCCGCACATGCAGCCGCCTAAGCCACCACTTGCTCACCACTCAGTTGCCTTGGAGAGAACAGGTGATAGGTGCTATAGATATCATTGGAGAACTGCAACTGGAGCTCAGGGTTGCCTGTCAGGAGCTGCACCACCTGTTCTACCTGAAATGGTGTCTTCTCCAGGATCACAACAGCATCTTCTCCATCCCCAGAGTCCTCATTCACCTGTGGGTAGAAGATACCATCAGTAGTTCCAGAGCCAGAGCCACTGGTAAAGTCTGGAGAGCAGAGGTAGAAGCGCTCAGGGCCTCTGAAATCCCAGCACTTTGGATTCCCTTAAGTCTTTTTACTGGGGAAGTCTAGTCAATGGCACACATACTTCTCTCCCAGAAAAGGTACCTTAATCCAAATCCTTGTGGAAGCTACACCTTTCTTCCAAAAAGATGTGAAGTTTCTCTTTCTATTTTAGGTTTACGAGACCTCTGCCAAACTCTCCCCTCTTTAGAAGAAAAGATGAAGAAACAGGTCTACAGATTAAGTGATACGTATTCAAGGTCTCCTGAACAGTCAGTGTTAAAATAGAAACTAGAATTCCGATCTCCCCACTAACTCCTAGTTCAAAGGTTCTCATATTTAACATTTAAATGCACACTGAAGTCAAGTGAGGCTGAGAAAACCAGACAGGACACTAAAAGAAAAATAAGATACAGAGAGAGGCATGGAAGTCTAGCCCCGTCCCCTCATTCTTCCAAAGACATGAGATCCTGTTAGTATTCCTGGGGGGCCCCCCCAACCCCTGCCCTTGGCTAGCTAGGCCTCCTCACTAGCTTCAGATGGTCTCCCCATCTCTCCTGTAGCCACTGCTAGGCAGCTGAGCATAGGGTAATTAAAGTGAGCAGTGTTAACTGTTCTCCACAGAGATACTCTGCAATCCTGAAGATCAAAGATGGTAACTCATCTCCACATCTCCAGTACCTCCTCAGTCCCTAGCATGAATGAAAATTCATGGCAAGTGGAACTGGACTAACAATACCCACTGTCTCCTGTTTGGCTGAAGTCGTGTAAAGCAGAGATCTTATCTCCTACAGGCTCGACCTCATTTCCAGGGACAAGGGCCCACAGCAAAACATTCATCAACATTTGCAGAGATGTTAGCACCTTTATACATCGAATAAATTATGATGAATGGTCTGGGGTTTTAACACACGGTTTTTAATCTGATATATTCTATAAGGGCTAGTAGCTATTTTGGGGGAAGAAATGAGAAAAATCAGACCTAGATGTGTTCATTCTCTAAACTGCAAGAGCAATTTTGTCGCACCAAGAATTGCACTTCGCCTTCCCCCAAAAATGTAAGTGGTATTTCCCAGACCGGATACAGAAAAAAAAAAAAAAATCCGCTTAGGAGGCGATGATTGGCTCCCTCCTTTCCGCGTCTCCACCCAGGGTTGCTTAATAGTACCTTCCCGTGCAAGAATATGATTTTGTCCCGCGCAGACTCCTTCAGCACTTTTTGCACTCTAAATCCGGAGAACGGTAAGCGCACCGGGGCAGAAGTACCATTTCCAGTGCCGTCTTCCTTTTCTTCTGGTCTTGGAGCTTCTGCCTCCTCAGCGTCCAGTTCGCGCTTTCTCTTGGGTTGAGGCGCTACGTCCGCCATGCTGCCCTCGAGGAGCTGTGCGCCTGCGCCCTCGAGTCGCTGGCCCCGCCCCTCGTAGCTGCTCCTCACGGACTGCGAGGCTGCGACTCCAACTCCCGGCGTGCTCAGCGCGGCCTTGGCTGGAACTCTCATTCCCAGTGTGCCCCGTGCTGCAACGCGCTTCCGCTGGTGTTCGCGCGTCTTCGGAGGGTGGTGGTTCTGCAACACTGTAGTCTGGGTTACAGCTCTTGACCTGCTTGAGGTGCCGGCCAGCCTAAGGGAAGGGAAAGGAGGGTAGCGAGTCCCTAAAAAGGCGGGCTAGAGGTGGGTGCGCTGTGGAGAGGGCGCACCGGCCCAGGGCGAGAGGGGAAGACCCGGTTGGGCGCTGTGTCAGCGGGTCGTGGAAAGAGTGTTTATAAAACAAATCTGTGAGACTTTTCTTTTTTTTCCGGCGGTACTGGGGTTTGAACTCAGGATCTCACCGTAGCTAGGCAGGCGCTCTACCACTTGAGCTATTCCGCCAGCCCTTTTTTGTGTTAGGTGGTTTCAAGAGTGTCTCCCGAACAGTTTGTCCCGGCTGGCCGCTAATTGCGATCATCTTGGTATCGGCCTTCTGAGTAGCTAGAATTGCAGGGTGAGCCACGGGCGCCTGGCGAGCCTCCCTATTTCTTGATCGGTTTTCTTACAGCGAATACTTACACCATTTCCATATTTCTTCTATTTTTGTTACTTTACTAAGTTTGGGGAGAGAGGCGGTACTGGGGTTTAAATTCAAGGCTTTGTGCTTGTTAGGCACGAGGCGCTGTAATACTTAAGCCACGCCCCCAGCCCCTATTTTACTAAAATTCTTTATGGTGTTTTCTTTTTGTTTTTTTTTTAATAGATGGCATTTTTTGGTTGAAAAGAAAGTTAAGCCAGGGGTATCTTTCCATGACTCTCACCGGGCAGGACCAATTTGCCTGTATTTCTGCCATCCTACCCTTTTTTTTTTCTTTGACCAATACAATTTTTGATTTCTGATTTTGTAGGATTTTTATTATTTGACAGATCTAAATTTTGTCAAGGTTTGATACCAAGTTTTAGCCAAACGTTTTTGCTAGTACATTTTATTTCTCTATACCCGGAAGCAATTTCCAACTAAGATAGAAATCAAAAGATTTCTGTGTTCCAGATTGAGATTTGTTTGTTTCTGAAATAGTTTAATAAATTAGTTTCTTCCTTTCTGAGTATATAGTTCCATGTTAGCTTAGGAAAGAAAGCAAACAAAGAAAAGCTATCACACCATCAATACAGCCAACTCTCTTATCTCTGTGTGTTCCACATCCAATATTCAGGGGGAAAAAAATTGTCTGAACTGAACATGTAGAGACTATTTTTCTTGAGATTTCCTAAATCTACAGTATGACAACATGTACACATAAACATGTATTTATATTGTTAGGCACTGTAAGTAACCTAGAGATCCCAGTATATGGATGCATGTGCATAGGTTTTATGTAAATACACCCTTTTATAAAAGAGACTGGATTTCGATATCCTGGGGGCAGGGGTGTCCTGGGACCAGTTCCTGTGAGGATACTGAGGGACAGCTATATAAATCAAAGTTTACAAGTGACTCAAGACCAAAACAAGTCTTTCGTGATTTAGGGTCTCCAAAGAAGGAGCAAAAGATGTAGCCCTTCTAAGATCCAGATCACTTGTTTTTTGTTGTTTTGTTTGTTTTGCAGTACTGGGGTTTGAACTCAAGGCCTACACCTTGAGCCATTCCACCAGTCATTTTTTTTGTAATGGGGTTTTTTGAGATAGGGTCTTGGAAACTGTTTGCCTCAAGCTGGCTTCAAACTTCAAACAATTTAAGGGCAAAGCCTGTATGAACACAGTTCCAATTTCCAAAAGAAAGTGTTAGCAAAGTGAATCCTGTAATTTATAAAATATTAATATACATGGTAAAGTTGAGTTCCTACCAGGAATGAAAAGTGGGTTTAAGACCAGAAAATCTTGTGTTACTCACTACATTAACTGTTTAAAGGAGAAAAAACAAAACTCATCTTACTAGATGAGGAAAATTTAGATTAAAATGAAAAAGAAAATCCACTCAAAATAAGTAAAACTCTTAGCCAAGCAGAAACAGCAGAAAATGCCTAACCTGTTAAAAAATATGTACCAAAAAACCTACAACAAACACATTTAATAGAAAAATGTTTGAAGCATTTCCTTTAAGGAATGAGACAGTGGTTGTTATTGTCATTTCTTTCACCACTTCACTGGAGATCCTAGGAAGCACAGAAAGACAAAGAAGGAACTAAAATTTTGGTTTTGCTTTGCAAATTATATAACTATTTATAGAAAACCCAATAAAATCTAAAAAATCTTGTAGAATAAATAAGCATGCTGATTGACATTAGGTCAATATATGAAATAAATTCCCAGTAATAGATAAGAATATATATATTTAATACACACACACACATATAATTTGATACCTATCCTTTATAATAGCAACAAAAAATATGAAGTGCTAAGGAATCTGAAAAGATGAGACCAACCAATGTGAAAAACATACAACTTTACTGAAATACATTTTAAGACATAAATGGAGACATACCATGTTTATGGCTAAGGAAGACTATCATAAAAACGTCTGGCCAGGCATGGCAATGCACAGCTGTAGTCCCAGCTACTAAGGTGGCTGGTATGGTTTGAGGCCAGCCCTGACAAAGTTAGTGCCAGACCAAATCTGAAAAACAAACTGAAAAAAGAACTGGGGGTGTTGCTCAAGTGGCAGAGCGCTTGCCTAGCAAGCAGGAGACCCTGAGTTGAATCCTCACTACCCTAAAAAAAAAAAAAAGCTGAATAAACTATGCAAAAAGTAAGGAATAAGAAAGTCAAAATGATAGAAGAATAAGGAGAGTAGGTAGAGTTGACATGCAAGCTACCAAAGCATATTAAAAATAAGTGGTGGTACCAACATGGGGATAAATGAAGATTCAAAAAGAGGAGAATGGAGAACCTAGTAACATGTGACAATATATGACAGCAGTGACATCACCATCAGTAAAGGAAGAATGGACTACCTGATAGAAGGTGGGGGTAAGAATTGGACCTCTGACTTAAAAACCAAGAATGAGCCATGTGTGATTGCTTATGACTAGTCCCAGCATGCAGGAGGCTGAGGCAGGAGGATCACAAGGTCAAGACCAGCCTGGTTAATAGAGTGAGAGCCTGTCTCAGAAACAACAAAAATTCCAAGTAGATTTAAAAATCTAAATTTGAAAAAGAAATACTTATAGAAGAAAATACAATCACTTCTCAACTTTTTGGCCACATCAAATGTAGGCAAGAATGCAGGAATAGGGAAGAACTTCCTAAAATGCAAAAAGCAGAGACCACAGATTAATAGGTAAAATATTTTATAGTAAAATGAAAAATAAAACTTATTTAAAAGGTATATTGTCATACTTTTTAAAAACGCATCTAATAATTTTAAGATACATACTTATGAAAAAGAATGCCTGGGATTTGCTTCAAAATACTGTTGTGGGATGGGGTAGAGTTAGTGTAAGTGTAAGTTAGCTATGGGAGTGCTGGGGTGTAGCTAGATGGTAGAGCATGTGCTTAGCACACGTGAGGCCCTGGACTCAGTTCCCAGTACCAAAAAAGAAAAGCCAGGCACTAGTGGCTCACACCTGTAATCCTAGTTACTTGGGAGGCTGAGGTTGGAAGGGTCACAGTTCAAGGCCAGCCTGGGCAAATAGTTCCAAGAGACTCCCATCTCTAAAATAACCAGAGTAAAATGGACTGGAAGTATGGCCCAAGTAGTGGAGCACCTACTTTGCAAGCACAACGCTCAGAGTTCAAACCCTAGTCCCACCAAAAAAAAAGGGGGGAGGGGAAGAGTTGGAACTGTTGAACCTGAGTCAAATTTTTTCTTTTAGAATTATATATATATATATATACATGCATAGTTTTTCATTTAAAAAGATAAGGGGAAAAATTGATAATTACATAACAGTTTCACCCACCAGATTAGCAAACAGCAAACCTGGTAATTTAAGTCTTGGCAAGAACATGAAAAAACAGACACTCATACACAAATGGTAGGAACACAAATTGGCTCAACTAAGTTGACAGAGACTGCATCTTCTAGTAAAACTGTTCCCCATCTAGGTTAAATCCTAGAAAATCTTGCTCATGTAAACATGTACAAAAAAAGTTCGTAGACTTGTTTTTAGTAGCAAAAAACTGGAAACAGCCAAATATCTATTTATAGAAAAATAGGGAATTAACTAAAGTGACACACATCACATCAACATTGATAAATCTCACAAACATGGTGAACAAAGAAAGGAATACAAACAACGCCACTTATATATAATATAAAGCCATGTAAAATTAAATAACATGTTGGCAGGGATTCATATATATGTAGTAACTTCCATAGAAAAAAAGCTAAGAATGAGTTTAAAATTCAGAATAGTAGTTATTTCTGGTGAGGAATCTGGAATTAAGGACTCAAAGGAAGCACCTTGGGATGAGGTTTTGCTTCTTAAGCTGAGTGGTACGTACATGAGTATACCTGTAGTATTTCTGTCATTTTGTATGTAAGAAAATAGCTTGTAATTTAAAAACTAAGTATTTTCAATAAAAGGAGACATGACAGGAGGAAGTTAGAGAACAGGCACAAAAGTACACAGTGGGGGAAACAATGACATTCATTTCAGTTCAACACAAGTTTCTGTTCTTATTGAGAATAAATAAACCTTGCCTGTCCTACAAAGAACATGATCTGATTCCTCAGTCCAAAAGTAAAGACAGCTACTAGGAAAGCCTGGGCTTACCAGACCTGTGGTAAGACCTCCAGTTGTCACAGGATTAGTGGGCTTTTGATCCAGGTGAAGCAGCTGGGCTCTGAGCTTTGGCTTCTCTTCTTCTCACTTGTCCCTCCCCTTTTCTATATATTAAGAATATTTTTAGGTTGAATCTCTTTTTGGTGGTGCTGAACCTTACCCTTACACTGAACCACACCTGTAGTCCTGGGTTTGTATCTTTAATGACATTCATGTAATAAATAAAATATAGTATGGTGCCAAGAGCACCTTTTAGCCAGCTTTCTGAAATGAGTCCATATCTCAGAATGAGTGTGAAGGACTCAATACTTGTGGTTTACTCCTAATGCCTGTTCTGAGACTTGCTCAGGCAACTGAGAAGAGCATCTATGCTGAAACCTGTGGCCTCAACTTCCAGCTCATAGGTCAGGCTCATCCTCTTGAGGAGGAATGCCGATCTACAGTGCTGCCTGATTCTGGGGGGAAGAAGACATGTGTGCCAGCTGTCTGATTAGGCAGCAGGCAAAATACTGCTCACTCTCCCTCCTGCCACCTCCAACTGCTGGCTTCCTCATGGCCTTCCTGGGGAGGTCCCAGCGTTTTCATGGCCTTCCTGGGGGAGACCCCCAGCTTCCTCCTGGGCTTCTTGGGGAGTCCCCAACTTCCCCATGGCCTTCATGGGGAGCCCACAGTAATGGAAGCCTGATAGGCAATCTGATCCCAGGGTCATGTACAAAGTACAGCTGACTCTGGCTCCTGACACCTCCTGCTGTATCTGCTGGAATCCGAGGCCCAAAATGATCTATTTCCAGCTCTACAGCAACTCTCTGGATCCCATGATGACGTGTCAACTAAGTGTCTGCAGATCTGAAAGAGACCAAACAGAATCACATGGTTTGTCAACCTCCCCAAATCCAGCAACTCTGTTTCTTCCTCAACAGATCCTAACCTCTTCTCCCTTTTTATCTATTACATTTTCCTCCAACCCACTATAATATAATGTCCCTCCCCTGGTTATGCTTATTGTGTGCATTTCTTTCCTATTATTCTGCAGTGATATCCCTCCTGGCATGTGCCCTACTCTTGGAGGACATTACCAGCCCAAATTCAGAAACCTAATACTTTCACCACTACTACTCCCTAGTACGTATTAAGGACTTGATATATGCTAGACTCTGCCTGTTATGAATTTAGTACATATATATACAGGATATGCAAGTGTGAAGCTCTGAGCTCAAACAGTAATGGAATCCATATAAGCAATGAGGAAACACACCCAGAAGGGTTAAGTAATTTGCCCAAGTAACTTCTCACATGCTAACAGGTGAAAGAGCCAGGAGACAAACCCAGATAAAACTTTCCCAGAGCCTACACTTCCAACTACTGGAGCTCCAGCAAGTGGTCTCCTAAACGTGATTGGACACTGGCTAACTCCCCTCCCCCTTCTCCTCCATGGCTTACAGCGAATGACAGCTTCCTTGACTTGGCAAAAGCCACCATCTGGGCCTCTGCCATCCACATAGTACATGAATCTCAGCTCAGGTGGGTAGGAGGCTCTGGTCAGGCCTGACAGCAAAGGGATTGTGCGGCCCTCTGCCCCAGGGGCCTCAGTCAGGGCCTGCAGCATCTGGTACTTGCACCATGGGTCACGAAGGAAGCCTGGGGTGATGAGCAGCACACGGCAATGACTACTGCTTAGTGCGTGGCACAGTTCTGACACAATGGCACCACCTGGGGTTGCATCCCGAAGCTGCAGAAAGCAGCGCAGACTGGCAGTGCTGCCCTCCAGGTAAGAGACCAGCTCCTGGGCAGCCACCAGGTCCTCCTCACTGTGGCATATGCAGACGTCGTAGTCTTTGCTCCAGCGGCCACTACTGCTGGTGTCCACATGTGTTGGTGACAGGGTGGAAGACATGACTGGACTGAGGCTCGGGGTTGGGGGGCTGTCCTGTAAGGCCAGCTGTGAGGCTGACTGTGAATTGTCATTGGGGTGGCTTTCTGGGGAAACAGGCATCTTCTTTGGCTTCTTCATCAGTGCCTGCCTGAACCAGTCTGTAGGAAAGAGAAACACACAGTGCTCAGGTGGTGACTTCTTACCTGCGGCCTCCTCACTGATGGTGCAGGGAGGAGCCCCAAGGGAGGATAAGCAGGGTTCCAGCCAGCACCCTGTGCTAGGAAACATCTTATTCTCAAAGACCACTAACGTCTTCTATGTCTTGCCTAAGAGTTCCCTCTATCTTTAAAGGTCCCCAAAATACACTAGAACTGTAGATCTTTCTGTGAGAGTGTTTTACCAAACTGCTTAAGAGAGACTGCCTTAGCCAGGTGAGCTTGCATGTACACAGCTACTCAGATGGCTGAGGCAGTGAGCCCAGGAACTCAAGACCAGCCTGAGAAACAGTGAGACAGCATCTCAAACAGCAGCAACAACAAAGTGCTGGGGTTGTAGCTGATAGTAGAGTACTTGCCTATCATGTGCAAGGCCCTGGGTTCAATCCCCAGGATGGAAAAAAAATGATGGCCTTGCTCCACTCCAGATCCTTTGGTATCTGGTACCTCAGCCCACCTTAAGCAGAATGTTTCCTTAACATTGACTAGTCAACCATCCAACCATCTATGAGTCTGGAAAGAGAGTTATGTGGATACATAAGACTGTCAATGAAGCCCAATGCCCACTTCCATCACTGAGAGGAGATTAATTTAGATTAATGTAAACTACCCATTGTGAAAAGGAAAGGGAAGAAGATAGGCATCTGTTTAGCCCAGAAAAGTCCTAAGTTGTTGTTAAGTGAGCAACACAAACATTGAAAGAGAGCTACTGGTCAGAGCTCCTAAAGAGCACACAGCTTAGTGATTCTGAACCCAAAGTTTGGAGCACTCAGATTTTTTTTTTTCCAGTACTAGGGATTGAACTGAGGGCCTTGCACTTGCTAGACAAGCACTCTCCATTTGACCATGCCTCCTCCCGCCCCCAGTCCTTTTGCTTTTAATTTTTCAGATAGGGTCTCACACTTTTGCTCAAGTTCAGGACTTGAACCACAATCCTCCTACTTCTACCCCCAAGCAGTGGGCAGCCACACCTGGCTCTGGCACCCAGATTTGATTGTGGACCTCCCGCATGCTTTCTCTATACCTTAAGCAAGTTAGTCTAGGTCTCCATTTCCTCTGTAAAATGGTTCCTTTTAGTTGTTGTTGAATGTTTACTCAAATAATACAGTGTCTGGTATCTTGTAAGCACTCCATAATGATATTAAAACTCAGCAGTTGATAAAGACAAATATTTTGGTGTTCTTGGGATTGATTAGTTTTCTCTCTGTGTTTGGCTACTTCCTCTGAATGGTTCTGGAACAAAGATTTAGATGACAAGTAATATAATGTTAAGCATTCAGCACAATGGTTTCCAGACTAGGAAAATGTGCTGAGCAGACCTGGAAAACCCTTGAGCCAAAGAACTTGAAGAATGCATGCCTCCCTCCTCCTCTACAAAGCATCCAGTCCTGAAGCCCAGTCAGGAGCTTCACCCCATCATCAGCCTTTCTGGGCCAAACACCCATGTGTTTAGACCAGACAGTCCTCCCAACCCACCAAAATGGGGACTGAGGACAATATTCTTAGTTACAAGAGCAGGATCAGGGGACAGGTCCACTCACCAGCCATCTTGCCCAGAGGCTTCTTGGACTGGGAATGAGCTGCTGGGAGGGAGGTCGATGATGCCATAGTGCTGGGCTAGAAACTAACCCTGTGAAGCTGGGCATTGGGAAAGCAGCAGAAGGGAGGAGACCCAGTGTTGACCTCATGGAACAGTCATCCTACAAGAGACAGAGAGAATCACAAAAACTATGCCTACCCTATTCTCAGTCCCAGAATATAGGATCCTGGAAGTTCTGCTTCTCTAGTAGTGCCTCACAGTCTCAGTCCTAATCATGGGGCCAGGGAAAGGCATTACTGGGATTGGTGCTGGCTTCTGGATAAACCCAATCTGTGCAGTGTTGTCAGACTTCCAGAGCATGAGCTCAGCACGACCAGCAGAGTGACTGCTCTCTGCTCTACCTGGCCAGGAGTGCATTCAAAATCTGGGGAGGCACAGCTGGCAGGCTCCTTAGAGGACTTCCCGTGTAAATGCAGAAATGAGAGGACAGTTACCATTTGAACAGGTAAATATTTATTCCATTGAAAGGATGCTGAGCAGTAGTGCATGCAGGAAGCCTTGAGAAACTTTTCCTCCAACTGTGTCTTCCCCAGAGTGGTGAAAGCTGCCAACTGCAGGCAGCTAGTGCCAAAATTCTCAACTCTTGTTAACTGTGGCCTTCAGCAATCTTGCTAAACTTCAGTGTCTCCATCTGTGAAATGGAAACGCTGTAATACTAGAACCTGCTTCTCAGCATTATTGTGAGAATAACATGAGGTAATTTATATATATTGCCAATGGTATCTGGCATATAATAAATGCTCAGAAAATGTGGTGGGTTAATATGTCTTTAAAATCATCTAGCCAGACATGGCAGCATGTGCCTAGGGTCCCAGATCCTGAGGAGGCTGAGGGAGAGGACAGCTTGAACCCATGAATTCAAAACCAGACTGGGTAATATCGTGTGACTCTGTCTCAAGGCAAAACAAATAAAATAATCTAGATGTGGAAGGGATATATTACATTTGGTTTATAATATTCAATATTGCGGCATTCATTTTCTTGACACTGATCTTCAGTTTGATTAAAACCTCTGATTCCAGAAGGTTTTAATTTTTGTGGGGTTTTTTGGTGGTGACATTATCATATTGCTTCTAATTTATATGAAAATGAAAATAACCATGAATACCTTAGATGGGCAACTTGTTGGGTTCTCTTCTCATCACAAGGACAGGGATATCCCTGATGCTGAGGGCTCTTTCAGCCTTGGTTTCTGAGAGAAGACTGTATGGTGCAGAGCCAGCTCTGGCACAGGAGTGTAGCATTCTAGGGACACTTCTCCAGCTGAAGAGCTGGTGTGGCTTGGCTCTGAGGCTGTGGAGCAACAGGCAAAGGGCCACTTTATCTGCCAGATCTGCAGAAGTCAAAACAAGTTCCCTCTGGGAAGTCACAGAAACAAATCAATTACTAAACATGCTATAATAAGAGGTTTCAAAATTTAAAGAATGTTAGTCTAGGTTGATCATTAATGCTTTGTTCACCGATGAATGAACCAAAATGATGAATAAAAGGCAAGAGATGATGGTTCATGAACAGTTCAAAAAATTATACTGTAGCTGCAAAAGAGACATGTGATAATCTTAACCGTCAACTTGATTGGATTGAGAAATGCCTAAGGGATTAGTAAAGTATACCTCTAGGTGAGGGTGCATCTGTGATGGCATTTCCAGAGAATTAGATCATAAGGGGCCCTGACCTAATGAATGGGTTAATTCCCTGGTGAATTTATAACATGATGGTGTTATTGGAAAGTAGTGAAAGCCCATTTGGCCACTGGGGTGTGTCCCTGGGGCTATATCTTGTCCTGGCCCCTTCCTGTTATTCCCCTCTGCTTTCTGGCTGCCATAATAGGAGCTTGTCTGCTTCACCACACTCTCCCTGCCATGACTGACACTTCTGAAACCAGGAGCCAAAATAAACCTTTTCTTCCTTAAGTTGTTCTCTTAGGTACTTTGGACTCATACAGGGCAGAAAGAAGAGGTGGAATGAGTACAGAGAAGACACTGGAAAGAGAAAAGCAGTTAACTATTAAACCACACATATTTGGGTTTCTTTTCCTTCCTAATATTCCTTTGTGTTTCCAACAACCTAAGTGGGAGACTGCTGCTACGACAGTGCTTTATACTGCTGGTAGATTTTAAATCCTTTTCTTGGTCACAGGTTGCAGTCTCTCTACATCTTCATGATATCATTCAAGATGCCTCGCCTCGCCCCCAGCAGTAGACATATGGCCAGTTTTTATATTATCTAAATTTTTTTAATTTGTTTTAATTTTAAAATTTACTATTTGTTCTTAATACACTTACAACTGGAGAATCATTTAATTTTTAGGTGATATTCTAAAGTTTAAAATTAACACGTTAATCTCTTTAACATGAAGATTTAAGTTTTATGAAGTGACTTGCCTTTTTGATAGTACATTCTGATTTGGAGTAATTACCTGTTTCATTACTTCGGAAGAAATCTAGAAAGTGGTAGAATGTGGCTACCAAGTATTAGCCCCTGAGTTCAAATCCCAGTACTGCCAAAAAGGACAGAATCTAGGGCTGGGGGTGTACCTCTGGTACAGCACTAGTCTAGCATGCAGGAGGCCTTGGGTTCAATCTCCAACACCACCAAAAAAAGAAAAAAGAAATACAAATTGTCTAACAGTACATGCTCCTGGAAATGGAGTAGTATAAGCTCTTGAAAACATGAAAAAAATTGAGGACAGGAAACAACAGTATCTTCGACAGGATAATTGAGCAAGATGGCAGGTAAGTTCCAGCAACCACACATGCTTCCTGGAGTCTAAAACCTCATGCACCTTCCTTGTTCCTTGCCAGTTCTTGTGCAGCCTGGGCTGTTAAGCAGTCACATGCTCACACATGCTTTAATCTGTCCCAAGACTTAGTAACAATCATCATATAGCAACAAACAGTTGTTCAGCACACAAGGTAACCAAATCTTCAACTAGAAGGTCTAATCAGTAGCTCTGTGTATTCTCTGATTTGCTTTGTAGCCTCCTATGTAGCCACTTTTTCCTGTGTTTCTGAAAAATTCATAAAGCAGTTGGCATGGTGGCTCATTCCTGTAATCCCAGTTACTCAGGAGGTATATAGGCAGGAGGATCTCAAGTTTGAGATCAGCATGGACAGAGCTAGCAAGACTCTATCTCTAAAACAAAATAAAAACAAAAGGCTGGAGGTGTGGCTCAAGTAATAGAGCACTTCCCCAGTGCCACACACACACACACACACAAAAATTCATAAAGCAGAATGACACATACCTCAAATACCCACTTTGTAGGGAATAACAAAGAAAATGTTTAAGGAGCTTCTCCACAGAAAAAGAACCAGCACAATCCCTTTAGTTCTAGAATGTGTTTTCAGTATTACCTGTAGGAACTTACAAGACAGATGTTACGAGGTTTCACTGTGTAAATCGTGTTAAGTATTATCCAGCATCTAACTGTTCTGCAGTTGCTGTTATATAGAGGATGTCCTAAGGCCTAGAGGACCTATGATTAGAAGGTGTATATTTTATGATTCACATTAGACTTCTGTTCAGCTGTAATCACTACCTGTGGTAGACAGAATGTGATGTCCCAAAGATGTCCATGTCCTAATCACAGCACTGTGTTTGTCAAAGAGTGATTTGCAGACTATGGGGAACAGACCCTACCACAGCTTCCATGTTCACACTTGAGAGTGTGGGTCAGGCCTCCTTACTTCTGAGCAACAGAACACAGAAAAGATGATGGAGTGTCACTTACACGACTATGTTACCATGTAAGATGTAAGCATGCATGTCTGTATACCTGCCTGCACACTGTATATAAGATGTATATATACCATACATATGAGTACTGTGTGTGCATGCATATATGGTGGTATGTATGGTGCACGTGTGTGTGCAACTATCTCCATCTTAATAGAGGGGGAGAGAGAGAGAGACTCCCTTTGAAGAAGTTGCCATGTTCTGTGAGGACCACTCATCAAGGAACTTTGAGTAGTCCCTGGTTGCTAGCAGTGGTCCCCAACTGACAGCTGGCAAGAAAATGGACCTCAGAGGTCTGGCAGAGTGCCTGCCAAGCAAGTGTGACGCCCTCAGTTCAAAACCCTAGTACCAACAAAAAAAAAGGAAAAAGAAAATGGACCTCAGCCCTGCAGCTATCAAGCCAACAACCTGAAGGAAACTGGAAGTAGATCTTTCTGCACTCAGGCCTTTGATGACACCAAAGCCTTGGCTGATGCCTGGATTGCAACTGGGAGAGACCCTGAGCAGGGGTTCCAATCAAGCCTTACCCAGAACCTTGATCTGCAGAAACTTTGAAATAATAAATCAGGGACGAAATGCAATGCTGGCTTAAAATG